CAGGGCACATCCTCCCCCGCTCAGAGTCCTCCCCTGATCTATCTTTCTCAAAGCAAAAGAGTTCATGCAGTGGCTTGCAAGGTCCTACACTTTGTCACCTCTCTGCCCTCATCTCCTACTTCTTCTTGTTAGATGACCTCACGTGGGCTCTGACCCAGAGAGACTGTATGTACAACGGAATGAAGCACTGCCCAGTCCAACACCATCCTCACAATCTGTGCTGTGATAGTCCATGGTTAGTCACTGTGTCGACCCATCTCCGTGAGTCCATCTCTCTTCGCCCCTCTCGGTCTTTTTCCAAGATCTGGCCCTTTCTGATAACATGCCCAAAGTATGTGGGAGGAAGTTTCACCATCCCTCCTTCTAAGGAGCACTCCGGATGTACTTCTTCCGAAACAGACTTGTTCATTCTTTTGACAGTCCACAGTCTAGTTAGTATTCTTCATCAACATTGCAATTCAAAGGCATTAGTTCTTCTTTGGTCTTCCTCATTGTCCATCTTTCACATGTATATGAAGCAGCTGAAAATGAAACAGCACGGGCCAGCTAGCTACCCTGAGATCTTAAAGTGTATCTAGTCTAAAGAGGTCCTTGGCAGCAGTTAGGCAAGAGACAACATGTCTTTTGATTTCTTGACTGCTACTTCCATGGGTGTTTGCGGATCCAAGCAAAAGTAAATCCTTCTAAAAAGAAAACAAGTAAATCCTTGATAACGTCAGTCTTTTTTCTGTTCCTCAAAATGTTGCCTATTGGTCCAGTTGTGAGGATTCTTGTTTTCTTTACGTTGTGGTAACCCATCTTGAAAGCTGTAGTTGTTTATCTTCGTCACTTCCAGAAAGCACATCTCCTGTTACACGTTGCCGACTTCCTTCCACACTCTCTGGCTTCCTTGGTGTTCCTCACGCTTAGGCACCTTCCTCCCTGAAGACCTTGGGTGGATGGTTCTTACCCTCAACATTACTCCAGAACCGCCTTCAGATCATTAAAGTATCACCTACCCTGGGACACACCCTGGCCACCCTGGCTAAAATTGCCTGTGTCACCCACTGCCACTAATTTTTCTTAACATATATTTCTAACATATAATTTATTCATTTACTATCTCCCTCCATATACGAAGAAGCACTAGTGGTACAGTGAGTAACTCAACAGTCTGCTAACCAAAAGGTTAGTGGTTCAGATCCACCATCTCTTCTGTGGGAGAAGAGGAGAATCTCCTCCTCTCATAACATTTACAGCCTTGGCAACCCACTGGAATGTGGCTATGAGACAGAATAAATAAATGCCACAGCAGTGAGTCTGGGTTTGATTCCTCACTAATAATTCACACAGCTCTTCCTGTGGCTACTCTCTTCACCTCTTTATTTCCCACACTTAGAGCAAGGCCTGGACTCACAGTATTGAGTGAAGGGACAAGTTATATGTAACTCAGCTGGAGGATCACCTTGGGACTAAGGGATATCGAGAGGAGAGTTATGAGACTGGCCACTCAGGCAGCTGAGTGGATAGGTCACATCTGTGCAATAAACACAGGCTGAAACTGTCACAGGCACTTCTTGGAGCTGATCTCATGCCCCTTCCCCTGATGACAAGGCTGAGCTTTGAGTTCCCATCTAACACCACCACTTCAGCTAAGCACCAACAATAACAATACTGAGGCCACAGACTGCCTTAGAATCCAGTTTGGGAAGGTAAATTTTGAGATGCCTCTCCCCAAAGTCATCTTCCTTACTTGGATCCACAATTAATACCCTCAGTGCAGTATACATTATTGAACCCATCTTACTCAGTCTCTCCCCAACCCCAAGGACAGTCCCATTCTACAACAGTGGCATCATGTAATATTCGTCCTTTTGTGACTGGGATATTTCACTCAGCATAATGTTCTCCAGAGTCAACCATTTTGAATAATATTGCATGAGTTCCTTGTTTTTTAATGCAGCATAGTATTCCATTGTGTGAATATACCACAGCTTCTCTAGCCATTCGTTTGTTGATGGGCACTTAGGTTGTTTCCAACTCCTTGCTATTGTGAACAAAGCTGCAATAAACATGGGTGTGCCTATATCTGCTTGGATGTCAGCTATGGTCTCTTCAGGGTATATTCCCAGTAGTGGAATTGCTGGGTCAAATGGTATCTCTATTTGCAACTTTTTGAGAAAGCGCCATACTGCTTTCCACAGGGGTTGCACCATTTTACACTCCCACCAACAGTGAATAAGGGTTCCAGTTTCTCCACAACCTCACCAGCATTTCTTGCTTGATGTTCTGTTAAATTTTGCTATTTTGACTGGGGTGAGATGATATCTCATAGTTGTTTTAATTTGCATCTCTCTTAGGGCTAGGGATTTTGAGCATTTCTTCATGTGCTTGTTAGCCATCTGAATGTCGTCTTCGGTGAAGTGCCTGTTCATATCCTGTGCCCATTTTTCTATTGGATTATTTACCTTTATCTTGTTGTGGTGCTCAAGTATTTAATAAATTCTGGATATAAGTCCCTTATCTGATATGTTATTACCGAATACTTTTTCCCAGTCAGTGGCTTCCCTTTTTACCCTACTGGAGAAGTTTTTGGATGTGCATAGGGATTTGAGTCTTAGAAGATCCCATTCATCTATGTTATCTTCTCCTGGTTGTAGGTTTTCCAGGATACTGGGAAGACTGTTTATGTTGTGGATTAGGACTTCTACTCTTGTTCCCTTATCCCATCCTTCCTCAAACAAGATAGATTAGGAATGAGCCCTCCGACCCCCTCTACCAAGGTAACAGAATATGGGGAGGAAGATCCAGACTGTCCCAGTCTATCTCCAGCTCTGGTGGGGCTGATCATAAGAGAACTGGGCGGAGTAGGAGTGTAAGGACACCCCTCTTCTCTCTCAAGCAACCAAAGGCCTGAATGTAATAAGTATTTACTAATTGAAAGAAAGTTAGACAGGACTTACCCCCTGGTCCCTTGACCTGTCCCTTGAACTCTCGCAAGGCTGTGTAGGTCTGGGTAATGAAGAAAAAGGAAGTACAAATTTATCCTCCCCTATATGCAGGGCTCAAGCTCCTTCAGCACTGAGACTGTCCCTGCTCCAAAACCTTTACTGCTCTCTGTACAGGGACAGAGACGCACAAGGAGTCTCATTTCACAAGACAAGAGGATGTAGCAACCTCCTTCCCTAGAGGAGGTGTCTCAGAAGGGCATGAACAGAGTTGCAAAGTTTCCAGAGCAACTCCCAATTCTCTGATAGAAGAGGAAGGGTTTCTGGTGGGGCAAAATTAGGAAACCAGCCCTTTTCTTCTGAAGGTATAGCTGGCAAGCAGAGCATAGTGTGAATTCCAGCCCCACTCACCTGTCTGCCTTTGCTTACAGCCTAGACCATCACCATTGAATGTGAGGTCCTAGAGATGGGAGTCGAGGAACTTCTGGGTGGTCCTGGAACCTGGTAACATGTGTATTCAAAATGGATTTTCCCTTTAGTGTGGAAAGGGAGAATTTCACAGGATGTTAGAGGCTTGGGTTGGGATTCTCAGAGGTAGACTTGGACGACAAGGTGCAAGGGGGTCTCAGAGGATGCACATGCTGGGTCTGGGGAAGTAGACACAGAGATATCACTGGGGCTTCATCATAGTAGAGAGGTTTGAGCCCACAAAACACTGGAGTCCTGGGACATTGGGAGGGGGCTACCAAGGACACCTCAGATATGGATGGAAGTCCTTGGCATAGGCGGACCAAGGTTTTGGATGACTAACGGTTTCAATGACGTGGAGATCAATGACACCTTGAGATCTTGAATCCAGTGGTCCTAAACTTAGGTCTAGGTGTTCCCGGGTCAAAAATCTGGTTATCACAGAATACTTTGCAGTCACAGATAAAGTTGACATTTCAGGGGTGTCAAATTGAGTGTCTTTTGGTGAGCATTCAGAGATCATATTGGGGAATTCTGCTAGTTTGGATCTGGGGGTAAATGGGTCCAGGTAGTGTCAAATACTGGCACTGCCTATCTAACCTTGAACCCCATGATCTGAAGGCTCATGGTGCCATGGGGCTAGATCTGCACTGGAAATCTGGATGGGGTCAGTGTTATGGGTCTTTCAGGGCTCTCTGTGCCACCTCATGGGTCTGGAATGGACAGTCTGTCTAAGACATCTTAGTTATCTATGCTGCTGTACCTGAGCGGAGCTCTGCTGACATAGCCCACAGGAAGCTGCACAGCTAACCCAAAGGCAGAGAGCCTCTCCAAGCAGTTTGACCCCACCTGCTTCTCCACAGGAAAAAGATGATGGACAATCAATCTCCTCCAAGTAATTTACAGCCTCAAAAATCCACACCACTGACAATGAGTTTGAGGATTTTCCTATGAGCTGTGACAGAAATACTATAAATGGGTGGCTTTAACAAACAAATTTATTTTCTCACAGTTTAGGAGGCTAGAAGTCCAAATTCAGGGTGTTCACTGTAGAGGAAGGCTTTCTGTGTTGGCTCTGGAAGAAGGTCCTTGTCTCTTCCAGCTCTTGAGTGATCTGTACATGGCTAGGCCTCATTCTTCCCTCATTTCTGCTTCTTTGCTTGCTTGTTTAATCTCTTTTATATCTTAAAAGAGATTGAGTTAAGACACACCCTACACTAATCCTGTTTCATTAATTTAACAAAGACAACCTATTCCCAAATGGGATTAGAACCACAGGCATAGAGATTAGGATTTATGACAGAAACCGGGTTGGGGGCTTTAGTCAATCCAAGACGTCTGGATTCCCTTCATTCTGGCCCATAGGAGGGCGCCAGAGTTGAGGACGCTTGGAACCTCGGGGAGACATCAAAAAAAAGCTGGGTCTGGGGTCTCTCAATCCTATATTTGGGGTCCAGTTTCCAGGTCTGGGGTTTCACCCTCCAAACTCAAGCTCCAAGTTCCGAGTATGCCTGGGTTTGGATTTTGGGTCCAAATGGAGTCTGGTGTTCTGGACACTCAATTTGGGGTCCTTGATCTGGCTACGAGGGTCCCGCCATGCCGTTCTCACCGCGCTGCCTCCTCGTGGCGACCCCCGCAGCCCGCACAGCCGTAGCGTGCAGCAACCCAGTGACACGCGCGGAGGGGAGCGTAGCAGCAGAGGCAGGGAACCGCGAGGGAGAGGGCGGCCAGCGCGGCCCAGCGCGCGGCAGGGCGCGGGTGGCCTGGCTCGCAAGCGCACGGGTCCGAGAAGTCGCCCTCGGCGTCTGACAGGCAGTGGTAGAGCAAGCTCTCCGCACACCACAGGCAGCTAAGCCGGCGCACGAGAAGGCGACCCGGGTCGGGGGCCTCAGCGCAGCGACCACCACGCCCGTCGGCGCGGCGGCGGAAGAGCGCACGGCAGTGCACGCAGCGCGCCGCTTCCTCCGCCTCGGGGGAGGCCTTGGCAGGCGCAGATGGCGGGCCCAGACTCGGGGGTGGGCGTGCTGGGAGCGCTGGGGGTGCAGGCTCGGTGAGAGCGGCGGGGAGTGCAGCCGGGGGTCCTAGGGCTGCATCCCTCAAGGTGCCAGTCTTGGTGAAGCGCACCACACAGGTGGACAGGGTGAGTGGAGGGGGCGGCCCGGCTCGCCGGTAATCCTCATAGCCTCGGCCGCCCCAGCCTGGGCCTCCAGGGCCGGCTTGGGGCTCTGCAGACTCTGGGATTCCCGTAAACGGTAGGAGAGGGGGGTAGCTCTGCAAGAATGGACGATGGGATGTTAGCTTGCTCCGTGACATGAAATGTACAACCAGCCCAAAGTCCCTGTCCTAAACCCCCACTTGCCCATTCCTCTCGCAGGGATGATTCCTCTCATAGCCTGTACGGTTGGTTCTCAGACCTGGGGAATCCAGACTCCAGGCCTCACTCTAGGGCTGCCAGCTTTGTACTCCCTCAAGATCCAACACCCAGAACACTCTGCTCTCGGACCCAAGAGGCCAGTCCTCAAGTACCTCTGACTCATTGGATATTGAACCCATTTTACACATTGCACCATGAGTTAAGCAGTCTGAAGACCCCCTTCTTCCTAATATACTCAAATAATTATCCATGTTGACAAAAATAAACAATTATCCAGTTGCTCTGGATGCAGTCAGAATTCTCTCAAAATCTCTTGAAAGTGCTGGAGGCAGGGGAATCCCTTTCCAGTCTCTGAGGTACTAGGTCTCCAAGCTTTCCCATTCCCCTTAGGCTAGTCACTCTCATTTTTCTCTCACCTGGGCTTCAGCCTTCACCCCCAAAGGGACCTCAGTGCCCCACCCCACTCCTGCAGGACCTCCAGGGGTCGCACCTGAGCTGAGGAGCCGCGGCGGCGCTGGGGGGATGTCGTTGGCCCAAAGCCAGTAGATGATTCCAAGGTGCTGATGGGGACTGGGACCACCGTGGCAGCAGTAGTAGGTGTCTCCTGGTGGCTGTGACTGGAGGAAGAGTCGCTGTCCACGTGGGACTGGGGGATATTGGTGGCCTTAGTGTGAGGGGGACCCCCTCAGCACAGAGAATGCCCTTACAGACACACACACCCCTTCAAGTCCTGGCTCTGGGCATTTATGCTTGCCTCTGTGAGGCTCAGTTTCCCTGTTCTGTAGGATGGGATCATAATCATGTCTTTTCATAAGAACGTGGTTAGGACCTCCATAAAGGTCAGAAAGTACTAGAAATGATTACTATTTACTCTTATCTGTTCAAGAAGCCCTGGCAGCATAGTGGTTAAGTGCTGGGCTTCTAATCAAAAGATCTGTGGTTCGAAACCACTAGCCATTCCAAGGGGGGAAGATTTGGCAGCCTGCTTGCATCAAGATTTACAGCCTTGCAAACCCTGGGGGCCAATTCTGAGGTTTCTTGAGTGCAGGAGGATTGGTTTTCATCTTATCTGCTTAGCTCACCCACCTATAGAATATGTATCACCCTCCCTTCCCTTGCCTGGTCAGTCAGCCTTTTCCCACCCTAATTTCCATCTCCACACTTTGACTGGGACTGTTCAACTTGCCATTCCAATGCCTTTCCAGACCATGCTTCCCATCCAAACCAAGCTCTGCTCCTTCCTAGCTGAGAGCTTGCTTCTGGAATACTTCCATTGCCTTTCTGTAACTTGGGAAGGTAATTCCTACCTCATTCATTTGTTCTCTTCAAACAGCATTCACCGAGTACCCACAAAGGTCATAGTGAAGATGGGAGATGGCAGCAAGGAATGCCCAGCCTCTACCCCTAAGATGGGAGACTCATAAAACAGGAGACTGTGGTCCCACCTCTATCCCCATCACTGTGGGATCCCCCTTTTCTGCCCAGGGACCCAGCTTTGTTCCTCCAGCTGTTCACCACCACCCCTAGAAAGTGCCAAGTGGAAAGTGGAACCTTAATATTGCATGCACTCATTCATGTAAACAATCGAGTGCCAGGAGCTGTTGGGGCACCAAAAGCAGCAAGAAACAAACAGATCCCTGTCCTCTTAGAGCTGCCATTCTGGCACAAAAGATAGCCAACTGACAGATAAGAAAGTACTCCCTTTTGTAAATAAATAAGGAAAATAGATGTGTTAGAGAACAAGATAAGAGGCCCCATTGAGAAGGTGGTATCTGTGTAACACCCTGCAGAAGTAAAGGGAATGAGCCATGTGGAAATCTGAGGGAACAGTGTTTCAGGCAAAAGGAACAGACAGTGAGAAAGCCCTGAGAGAGAAATATGCCTGCCCTGTTGGAGTAACAATGAGTGAGGAAGTCTATATGACTGGAGCAGGGGGAGTGTGAGGTTGGGGAGAGAGAGTAACGAGATCTTATGTATCTCAGGCTGGACTTTATCCTTTACCCTGACTGATGTCCACAGGAAAAGCTGAGCAAAGGAAAATGAGATCTGGCTTAGGTGTTAAAAGGAATGTGTAATGTGGAGTGTGAGAGAGAAGAGGCCAACAGGTGATGAGAAGCTATACCAGTGGTCCAGGTGAGAGATGACACTAGAAGCATCTGAACATTTTCAACATGGAGTCAATATGTGCTGACAGATGAAGGTGTTCGAAACGAAGAGGAGCCACAGACCACTCAGGTTTGTAACCTGAGACACTGGAAGGATGGAGTTATCATTGCTTTTATTCATCATTTATCTTTATTCATTCTCTTTTTGCTCCCCCCACCCTTTTCTGATTTCCCACAGTAAATCCGAAGCTCCATGAGGAAAGGAATCTTGTTTTGTTTACTGATATAGCTATACTACCTAAAACACTGCTAGGTATACAAAGGTACTCAATAAACACCCAAAGTGAATATGAATCGTGAAATGACAGAAAAACCAGGCTGGAACTGATAGTCATGGTTTGGGCCTAAGTTTATGTGTCCAGGAATGTGCCATGGAGCCTGGTATACAGTAAGTGCTCAGGAATATTTGAAGAAACATAAACCCTCCCAGAAAGGCTATACTCCCAAGACTCACCGTCAAGGGGCAGGGGGTCTCAGCAGTGTCCTGTGATGGGGAGGAGAAGGAAGAGGAGGAGGAAGAAGAAGGAGTGAGCGAGCCTGGGGCAGAGAGAGAGACAGAGAGTAAGTCACCAGGATCCCTGCTCCTCCTGCCCCAAGCACCCCACTAGCTGAGCCATTCACCTTGACCCAGAGTGGCCAGGGCTGCCAGCAGACACTTTTGGAATTCTTCAGCCTCTGCGGGACTCTGGAAGGTCAGCCCGAATTTACAATCACCCAGGCTCCAGTGGTGGAAGATAGGGTTTACCTTGTTGTAAACCAAGCCTGGCTTCAGGATACACTCCAGAGTAGTCTGAGGGGGCAAGGAAGGGGCAAAAGAGGGTCACCTCCACCCAGTCACACATACCTGTGCCTTTCCCTCACCTCCCAGCCCCACTGTGTGCTTTCATGAACCCTGAGAGAGACCTGAAGACCGCTCCTCAATCTTATTAAGTACACCTGATATACTCCCAAGGCCCTTGGAATCTCTTCATTTTCCTAACACCTCAAACTTTATAGAATACCTCCAAACTTACTGTCAAATGCTCTCCAATAACCTAATGTCCCCACTGCCAGGTTTCACTGAACATTCCTAAATCGTACTATTAACCCCCTCCTAAGGTTCGAAGAGTCCCCTAGAAACTTGCCTCAAAAATATTCTTGTTAGTCTCCTAAGATGCTGGTCAATACCCTACATGCTGCCGCATGGCCTTAGTTGCCAGTTGTATATATCTCATTGTGCATCATTTCAAATGCCCACATCATTCTACTGGCTTCTAAAGCCTTTTTAAAGAAGCCACATTTTTTCTACTCCATCCCCAGGTGGCACTTCAATGTTATCCCTCCAAATCATGGCAGACAATCTAGAATCTTCTGTCAAACTCACAGATAGACTTGCAAGCCCTATTTGGTATTTCTAAATGGTCCCTTAGCAAAGGCCTCAGTTTACTTAGGGTGGAAAGAGGCTAGTGGGGGTAGGCCTTCATAGGACAGCTCTCTAAGAAGCAGCAGCCACAGAACTGTTCTGAGTGGAGAAGGGCCACCATCTCAGGTGTAACCAGAGTCCCTGCAGCTTTGAATGAGAACAGGAGGTGGAAGCAAACAAGGATAGGAGTGGAGAGACTAGTAAGGAGCCTGGTGTGATGATCCAGCAGGAGATGGCAGTAGGTCCCCAGTCATTCCAGAAACTCCCAGCTCTAATCCATGGGGCTGCTATACCCTTCCAAATACCATCCCATACCCCCCCACACACACACCTTGTTTGATTCCCAGGCTGAAGAATCAGGCAACTGCTCCTCTGTGCCCCCCAGCCCCATTCCCTGCCTCCCCAATCCCCCACCACACTCCACGACCCAAGGTGGCTCACTTTCTGGTCCCGGAGGCGCTCCCCGTGGATGACGTAGTGCCCCTGGTGGGCCCCCCCCTCGGGCCTGGCCCCTCGGACCTGACATACGCTCACCTGGCTGAGGCCCCCGCCCCCCACAGGCAGCCAGCCCCCACTGGAGTCATCTCGGGCCATCACCACAGCTCGGACCCGCACCATGTACCTAGAGGAGGGGGAGGGACAGACAACAACGTCAGTGAGTCCCTAGTCCTGCTCTTCCATTCTGTAACCCCAACCTCATCTTCATCTGTCATGTCAGAATTGCTGTCTCTCTAGCCCTGGATGCCCACCTTCCCCCACACCCATCCTCTCCACTCTGCCCACCTTCTCCCCCAAGTCCTTTTCTCCCTGGGCCCACCTTCTTTCCTCATGGCACCTTCTTCCAGCATAGCTGTTTTCTTTCCTAAGCCATCTCTTTTTGCCTGTGCCCACCTTATCCCCCATCCCCAACCCCATATCCGTGGTTTTCTGCCTCCCCTCCTCCTGCTCATCCCCCCATCACACGTCTCCCTTTCCTCCCTCAGCACAGCCCCACAGCCCCACCCATTATTCCTCCCCTCACAACTGGGTGCTGCGCATATGTATTTTTCAAGGACCCACCAACCCAGCTCCTGTCCTCCCTAGACTGCCTCCGCACCCTTTCGCCCAGGACACTGGCTGGGTGAGAAACCCAGGTTCTCTTCCCCCCACCCCTTCCCGGATTTATGAATGAGACCGGATGCAAAGCTCACTGAGTCACCCAGCAATGGGAGATGGGCAGGGAGAAAACCAGAAATGGCTAGAGAGAGAGGCCAGAGAAAGGGAGATGGACACGAGTGAGCCCGAAACAGACGAAGGAGGCACATCCAGACAGGATTTCATTCACAAAAATCAAGCTTGCTCCCTCAGGCCTTATCCAGAGAAGGCAAAGTGGGATCGCGTAGGAGGTGGGGGGAGATCGATTATGGCCCCCCACAGCAATCCTTCAGAATAATTTTACCCCACCCCCCCCCCGCTCTAGGGACCTAGCCCTCAGCCGGGTAATGGGATCAGCATCCAGCCCTTCACTGCCACCCAGCACAGGGACCCCAGAGTCCCAACCTTAGGAACTCAGGGAGCCAGCTCTAGCTCCCTCCCCCACCTACAGGCTGCCGGGTTTCCTAGCCCGTCAGGAGGGGAAGGGGCAGCTGCAGCGCCCCAACACCCTTTTCTCAATGGGATGAGATTTTGTGAATGAGCAGTCACGTGACGCCACTTCCTTTGTCCTCCCGCCTCCCCCCCACACAACAGGTGAAGCGAGGAAAAGAGGGCAGGGGTCTCCCCTGGGCCTAGTTGGGAAGGGGCACTGAGATTCTCGGGTGTCCTACGCTCCCTCACACATCTGTGGTCCCCGGGAGTTGGGGGGAGTGCTCCCTAGAGTTCCTCAATGGTGGGGGTCCAGGGTGGAATTTTATGAATGGGGCATCTTCAGAGAAGTCCAGGCCCCCAAACGGAGACTCGACCCCCCCAAATGGCTGCCGCGCAGTTTGGGGGGCCCATTCCCTTGTCTTCCCAGCTAGGTTCCAAGGGTCGTCCTGCTGGACAGGAGGCACAGTACAGTGCTAGCCGCCCCCTCACCAGGACTGGAGGCCGGTCCGCCCCCGCCCACTCGCCCCCCTCGGCACCTGCCTGGGAGGCTCCGGCCGGGCTCCGAGCGGCGGCGACGCGGCCGCATCCTCCTCCTCTTCGCTCCGGCTCTCCGTTGGCTCCGGCGGTGCTAGAGATGGGCACCGGGAGCCGGGTCGTGGGGGGAGGGAGGGGGAACCTGGAAGATGGGCAGAGGGGAGGGGGAGGGGGCGGCCTGGGGGAGGGGTAAACACTAGGCGGACGATTTGTCCGCTGGGTCCTAGAGCCCTGCACTGCCGATCGCGTACAGCCCCCCAAATTCTAGGACCCAGAAGGAATCCCCCACTTTTCCACCCATCCGGAGCAGATTCTGGACCCAAGAATTCAATGAAGTGGGGTCTACACTTTCGATTCTGAACGGGAGGGGCTGGGTGCCTGGCGGGTTCGAGAAGGGGTGGGGCGATGAGGGAATATTCGCAAAGGGGCGGGGTCGGAGGGCCTAGGGAAGGAGAGGGTGAGGATGCTGAAGGCGCGGACCGTGGAGTGCGTCATGGGCGGGGCGGGTCACCGTGGATGGGCTTTCGGGGCGGGCCCGAGGGAGGACAGAGGGTCTCGCGAAGAGGTGTTGCCATGTCCAAAGGGCGGAACCCAGAGGTAAAATGCTCTGGAACCTGGCAAATGAAAGATCCAAAAGGCAGGAACAACATAGCTGTGCCCTGAATGAGCTGGGCTTTGGGAAAAGGAATAGCAGCGAGGGGCGGAGAATTATAAAAGGGAGGAGCTAAGGAGGTGTTCTAAAGGGGCGGGGCTTGATGTGAAAAGACCTAGGGAAGGGGAAAGCCGTGTTTCAAAGGGAGAGCCAGGTTCAAACTGGACCGAGCGCAGGCTGGTACAGGGGGCGGGGCCTAGAGCGCCGCGTCCGCCCTCGCTGTCTCGCCCACTTACCTTCACCCGCACCCCGTTCTTTTCGGTTATTTTCTGCTGCGGCCGTTCACCGCCCTGCCCTCCGCCCCGGGGGCCGCAGTCTGAGCTTGCTCGGCTGGAAGAGTCGGTAAATGGGGAAACTCTGGGTGGGGGCGGATCCAGGGCGGGGCCTAAATAAAGGGGTGGGGCCAGAGCGTGGAAAGTGCTGGTAGAGCGGATGAGAAGTTTAAGAGACCTTCCAAACTTCTTTAGTCGCCGCCTTCTAGGAATAAAAAAAGATAGGACCCAGATGATCAAGAGGAATGAATTAGAAGGTTAGGAATGAGGCCCAGGGGATTCACATGACCAAAATACCTGCATTTGTTTTATAGAGGTGGGGCTGAAAGGCCCGATTCTCTGACAATCGGGGGCGGGACCCGTGAGTGAGGGTGGGGCCTGGGAGCCCTGAGCTGGATTAGACAAACCTGAACTCTTAACGGGCCTTGTAGGCTACTGGGTCTAACCATCATGAGTGACTGACAGGAAGGCAGGCAAGACCTGCTCCTGCGTCTCGGAACCTGGAGACCGGAGGCGTGGCCAAAGTTAGGGACCAAAGGGGCAGGGATGGTACCTGAGCGTCGGATTTTTGAAGGGTGGCTGACACTTAAGAGTCCTGGGGAATAGGAGCTCACGAGTCAGCCACTCTCTGGGGCTGCCCCTGCCTCGAGTTGCCTGACATGTGCATTTTCTTTTTCTGACCGCAGTTCCCTACTTCCGTCAGAGATGGGGAACGTGCAGTCGGAGCCTGCCGCTGGCGGGGGCTCCCGAAAAGAGCAGGCCTCGGACCGTGCCTGCGATTCCCGCCGGATATCCCTGGTGGAGCCCGAGGTGACCCCCTCTTCCCCGGCCATGCGCCTGGCTCGTGGGCTGGGCGTTTGGTTCCCCAGCAGCTCCGCACCCCCGGGACTCCTGATGCCCCCGGAGCCCCAGGCCTCACCCATGCCCCTGCCCCTGACCTTAGACCTGCCCACGCCGGTGACGCCCCCTGCAGAGGAGGCGGCTGCAGCGGCGGTGTCCACGTCACCCCCGCCCCCGGTGGGCACCTTGCTGCCCGCGCCGTCTAAGTGGCGAAAACCCATGGGCACCCCAGTGCCCCGTATCCGCGGCCTGCTGGAGGCGAGCCATCGCGGCCAGGGCGACCCTCCCAGCCTTCGCCCGCTGCCGCTGCGGCCCCGACAACTAACCGAAGAGGAACCTGCTCCCTCTCCGAGTACCTCATCTCGACCTTCACCTCCCGTGGAACCGCGGAAGCCCCCGCCGCCGCCGCCGCCCCCGCCCCCGGATCGCAGAACTACGCCCGCGCCCGCCGCGCCCGCCGCGCCCGCCGCGACCCCTCCAGAAAGCCAGGCCGGCAGCGAGAGCCGCATGGGCGGTGGGGCCCGCAGGGCGGCGCCTTCCGAAGCAGGCGGGGGCGAAATGGCGCGGCCTACGTCCTCCGAGTCCGGCTTGAACCTGCTCTGTAAAGTCACCTTCAAGTCCGCACCCCCTCTGTCCCCCGCGGCTGCCTCGGGTGCCTTAGGGGCCAAAGCCTCGCTTGGGGGCGGCGGAGGGGGAGGACTCTTCCCCGCCACCTCGGGCACCATCTCTTATGCTGAGGTCTTGAAGCAGGGAGCCTTAGCTCCTGAGAGCCCTCGGCCCTCCGGAGAGACCCCTCGAGGGTCTCAGGAAGTCGAGGGCGGTGATGGAGACGGCGAGGGGTGCTCCGGGCTGCCTTCACCACCGGCGCCCCACGCCCGGGCCCTACCGCCGCCCCCTTACACCACCTTCCAAGGCTCCAAACCCAAATTCGACTGGGTGAGCCCCCTGGATGGCTCCGAACGCCACTTCCGCTTCAACGGGGCCGGCGGGGGTGTCGGGCAGCCCCGACGGCGCGCAGCTGCGCTCTCCGGGCCCTGGGGCTCCCCGCCGCAGTCGCCGCGGGGCCAGGCGCAGCTACCTCCCGGGCCCCGGAGGCCCGCGCCCGCGGTGCTGGCGCCGCCCATGTTCATCTTCCCCGCGCCCACCAACGACGAGCCGGGGCGTCCGGCGCCTCCGGGCCCGCAGGAGTTGTTGCCACCACCGCCACCCGTGCCTCCACGTATGCCGCCACCGACACCGCCGCCCACGCCGCAGCCGCCGCCACGCCAGCCAACACCGCTGTCCGTGGCGCTCCTTTCCGCCCCGGACCCCGGCCATGTGGAGTCCGCCTCGGCTCTCACCCAGGACCCCGCTGCGGCCCTCGCCTTGACCACCGACCCGGCCCCGGACCCAGCCCCGGCTCCAGCTCCAGGCCCGGCCCCGGACCCAGCTCCCACCGCCGCCGAGCCCCCGCCGCCGGCGCCCGTCAAGGGCCGCACTCGGCGGAGTAAGGGCCCCCGAGCGGCCCGAGCTGCAACCCGAGACGATGGCACGCCCCAAGACGGTCCACGGAAACGCTCATCTGTCATCGCGGCTGACGGCAGAGCGGGTGGTCACGGCGCCCCTCCAGCAGGGATGGCCAATTCCAGCGCCATGCGCCACTGGCCACCCTTCGAGGTGCTTAATTCCTGTCCCTGCAAGTGTTACTGTCGTCATCAGCCACGCCATCGCCGCCTGCCCCGAAACGTGTCTGCCTGGTGAGGGGAAGTGGGGACCATCGAGGGAGGAGGGTATGCTTCTCAATATCCTAAACCCCACACTCCCCTGGATAGAGATCTCCCTTCAGCCTTTGACACCCTGACCCCACAAGTGGCCCTTTGACCACCCTTGGCTGCCTCTCGGCCCCAGCTGAGCTACCCTCAAGACCCACAGGGATCCTGACTTCAAGTTGACCCTCACACAGAGGTGGCACTTTGATCTAGTTCCCTGGTATCCAGAACCCCAAGCTGACCCTTGGTCTTGTTATTCTCTGGAGCCTTCAGGGAAGAAAGCTGGTTCCAGTTTACCAAACTTTATTAACCATTTTGAACTTGTTCCTGAGGGTCACAGGAGACCATAGGGTTTGTTTTGGTGGTAGGGGAAAAGAAGCGCTGTCTTGTAACCACATGGAAGTCAATGTAAAGGCCTCCTTTGACCACCAGAGGGCACTGCTAGCCTGGCCCTGGAGAGACGACCACCAGCAGTCTCCAGTCCTTTTGTCTTAGGCTCCTGTGGACCCTAATCACTGGGAGACCCTCTATTGTGGGTTCTGTGATGGCACTACTGCCTACCCTCATTCCCTCCTAAGTGGATATTGTGTGGCTAAGCTGCTTTCAGAGTATCCAAAACATAGTCCTCAGCTTCCTCCCAAGCCTAGATCGGGTGGAGGCCTGGCCACACAGCCAGGCCCTGCTGACTCTACCCTTCCTCTAGGCTGAGCACGCCCACCAACCACCTGAGTGAGCCACCCTGGGTGGCCACCATCAAGCTGGCTGGCTCCCTGGTAGCAGGGCTGGACCACTACGACCTGCAGGCCACCCATCCCAACTGAGTACAGCTGGCTCACCGCCCTCTCCTCCTCACCAATAAAATCAACCAATCTAGACAACTAGTGGCCTGTCAGTCACCTATGAGAGAGCAGAGGGAGAGGGGGTTCAACCCAGCTCAGATGTAACCAAGATTCCATTCAGCCAGCACCCAAGTAGATGGATGGGACCAGAGCTGTGACAGTCTCATTGTCCTTAATATCCTAAGAGCGCAATTTGTGAGCCAGCTGACCTGGCTGGTGCAAATTCAGGTGTTCAGAACAAATTAGTCTGGAAAGGAAGATAGATGGCTTTTTCCCATTTTATCATAGAAGGAAGTGGCTCTGCAAAGTCCCACATCCCACGTGTGGCCAGCCCATTTAAGCACTGCGTTCAGAAGACTGCAGAGAATTTCAAGACTGGAAATGGAGGCTGGGGATGGAGCTTGGGGACCATGAACCAAGGCACAGGGTCAGAAGGGCAGGCAGTGGTAAGCCTACACCTTTTGTTTGAGGGTACTGGGAGCCCAAACAGTGGTTTTACTTCATGTGTCACTTTAAAAGCTACTTGCATCCACTAACATTTTAATATTTGGGGACATATCATCCTCCTCAGAACCACCTGATACCTGGCCCAAAGAGAGCTGTGTAAGCATGCAGGCCACCATGCCACGTTCTCTATGAGGTGTCCTGGAGAATGGCTCCTGAATAGAGGTTGGTCCCAAGAAAGGATGTTATCTGAAGTCTCCCAGGACCCATAAACTTCCAAGTTTAAATTTTTCCACAAGGTGGGCTCTCCATCTCCTGCCATCCCACCATGGGGAAATGAGGGCCCAGGAGAAAGACTGTCAATCCATCTTTATTGGAAAAAAGATGCACCATACAGCTTTAAATAATGGGTGCCCCACCCACCCCTCTAATGCCCAGTGGACTCAGACAATCATCTCCAGCTGCCGGGCGTACTCGATGACTTGTTTGGCTAGCTCTGTGGAGGGGATGGTGGTGTCCTCTGGTTTTTGCTGCTGGCTGGCAAAGCTGTAGTAGTTGCTGGGGCCCAGGACCCACCCACGCTGCAGGGAAAAAAGAGGAGAAATGGCTGGGGTGATCGCAGAGGCTCCTCACCCATCAATGTGGGCCCTCACTCTTCCTTACCAACCCTCCCCCATAATTCCAGGGAGGTGACTTCACCTCCCTGTGCATTGGATTTCTTATCTGTGGGATGAGGAGTCTAATTTCACAGCCCTCTTGGGTCTGCTGTGAAGATTTAATTGGTATCTCTAAAATACTGAGAATAGCATAAGGCCTGAGCAAGTGATTGATGACTTCCCCTCTCTCTCCTAGTCTACCCGCTCTTGCCTCTGTGGACACGAGGGTCACTGCAGCTCATGAATCACCAACTCCAGGGCCACAACTCTTATCCAAACACCCCAGACCAAGCACACTGCCTTGGGAAATGTTGCTACTCCCAAGGGACTCTGACAACAGCTGACATGTGCAAAGCATTTACCTCCACCTAGTTCAGGCCTTGTGCTAAAATGACCCCACAAAAAAGTCCTCAATTACAGAGGGGGAAACTGAAGCTCAGGTTTAGTGGCTAGTCCAGGGACACCACTCCCTACAAGCTGCTCCACACCCCAGCCACCTTCTTGGCGTAGTCTGTCATCTTCTTAGGTGTAGTGAAGAACAGGATCCGGGTAGCCTCGGTGAAGAGGATTTTCTCATAAGCCTTCTCGATGCACCCAGCAATCTCATCCCTGGGAGAAGATGAGAATCTCATTAGCACAGACAGAGTCCATGTGCTGTGCTCTTGGGCCTGATGTGTGAGCTCTGGTCCCTCAGCTCAGCATGAAGCACAGAGCCTGTTTGTTACCTGTCTTCTTTTATGGCCGAAGCTCAAATGAAGGGGTGTCACCTCCCAGGACCATCGTGGGATCCATAACCACACATCACTGCCTCACTGGCCCAAACTCCAGGACCCTTCCACCCTAGGTGATTCAGGTGGTTAGCACACTTAACTGCTAATCCAAAAGTTGGGAGATTCAAGTCCACCCAGAGGAACCTAGGAAGAAAGTGCCTGGTGATCTACTCCTTATGAGCACTAACTTGGAAACAGAATAGGACAGAGTTATACTGACAGACACAAGGCTGCATGAGATAGGGTTGACTTGACAGCCACTGGGTTATCCTGCCCTTTGAAGATTCTGAGTGGGAGGGGGAGGGGCCTGTACCTGTCCAAAGACCACCATGATCAACAACAAAGAACTATAAAGATGGACGAGGCAGGGTAAACCAGGGTGAGTGTGCCACTCCATATTTCTGAGATTTCTCTTAGTTCAAGTAATTGATACATGAATGTTCATTATATTATTTCCCTCATCCTGAAGAGTTGTAAAGTATTATGAAATAACCTAAGGCGCTACTCCTCACTGCCACCCTAACAATGTGCTTGTCCTTGCCACCCAAGGAAGAGGACCCATTTCAATCTGGTACTCTGACTGAGCGAACCATCTCTGCTACTACATGGACACCAGTTTACTCTTTAAGGGGTCATCATGCCCCCTCCCCCGCCCATGGGATGGCATCTGTGCCCATAGCACAAATGTTAGTGGAGTGAGATGAGTGTCTGGGACAAGAGGAAAGAGCCCTTTTAACAGTCCCTGTCTGCTGGGTGCCTAACCTGCACTCGGGGCTGTATACATATGAACACAACAGAGCCCAAGGCATGATGAAGGTTGCCATCCACAACCCTGTGGCCAGTTCCAGCTCACAGAAAAAGAGTGCTGAGGTGCTGGGGGTGAGACTGTTACCCAGATGGGATTCAAAGCCAGGACTCTAACCCCAGAGTCCAGGTGTCTCTGACTGGGGCTCTGGCTCCCCACATACCGGATAGTGTCAAGCAAGATGTCGATGAAGAAGGTGTAGCTCTCAGCAGGGATGTTGCCTTTGGCCAGGAACACCTTGTTGTAGCTGCCTTCCATCAGATACTGCATCAGGTAGAGGAGAAGAAAACACGATGCATAGGCAGTTATCCATTAGGGCCTCACTATACTCCTAGTGCTGCCAGACCGCCCTTTTGCCATACAGACTGACATTTTCTCTTCCAGGAAGTCTTCCCTGGTTTACCTTCTCTCCATAAAATTGCCCATGGCTGCTTCACCCCCAGGTTCAGTGCTCCAAACCTTTGTCCACGCTGTGCTGCCCAATGGAGCTCTCTCATCCTCTTCCCATAGCCAAACACTCCCATGACACTACAGCTGTAGAAGTGCCTCCTGGTCTTAGGGCCTGAGGCTCTTCCGTGGTCCTACTCACCTGTCTTTGCTGTCCCTCAAACACACCAGGCCTCAGGATCCCTTTCCTTATACCCATGCTTCAGTTCCTCACCCATTAAGTCTTTATCCAATGTCACTTTTTCAGGGAGGCTTGCTCTGACTCCTCTATATAAAAGTCCCGCCTTGCCAACACTCCACTCTCGTTCTTGTTCTGCTGATCTCCATTATTGACACCTGACTCCACAGTTAGCTCGCTTATTCTTTTTGTCCACTGTCTGTCTGCTCATTGGACTGTCCTCTCCATGAGGTGAGGAACTTTAACTGTTTTGTTCACTTCTGAGACCCAAAATCAACTACACCACCTAATATAGCTGGGCCTCAGTATCTGTTGGGAAAATGAGAAGATGAATCAAAAGATGGATGAATCCCACTTATTCCTCCAGGAACCCCTCCTGATGCAAGTCCTTGTACCAATCACTTTGGTTACCCTTGGTCCCTGCCAGCCCCCACCTCCAGACTCCTCACTTGTTCAAGAGACACAGGGTGCTTGATGTAGACATTGGTCTGGATGTCCTTGGCAGGAAGCCGTTCCAACTCTGTGTGAAACTCGGCTACCCGGTTCTGGGAGAGCAGGAAGAGGAGGTTGAGGCCCAAGAGCTGGTGCATGTAAGCTGACTCAGGGAGCTGCTCCCTGTGGGCCAGAGGAGATACAAGATGAGGAGGGGGAGGAGGGGTGCTTACTGCCTCTATACCAGCTCCAGCTCCAGGGACCCCTAAGCTGCCCCATGCTGCCTCCTTTCTAGGATTTCAGGTTCTGGGGTTTCAAATGGGAAAAACGAGGCCCAGAAAAGTTACTGGTGAATGCAATGGCTCCAAGCAAGTGACCTCACTTTCATAAACCAACTCAGATTCAATATTCCCCATCTGGAACATGGGTTTTACCACACTATTCATCTCGTAAAGAGGGGTTAAATGGATTAGAAAAAAATGACATAATGAAACCCAGAACCTGATCCAAATAAGATTTAAAGGTTAGCTAATAAGGGACATGCTGGCATAGTGGTTAAAGCAGCCCAGCTGCTAACCAAAAGGCCAATAGTTCAAATCCAGCAGTTGCTCTGGTGTAAGAACAATGTGGTATTCGCCTCTGTAACACCTTTCAGACTTGGAAACACTATGTGGTAGTTTTGCTATCCTGTAAGATCACTGTGAATCTCAATAAACACTACAGCAGTAGGTTTGGGTTCTTCAGGAGGTGTTAACAATATTAAAGATCATCACTTCCCACCTTAAGTGAGGAGATCGAGGCTTAGAGAGGCGAAGTCATTTTATGAAGGCCCTATAACTAGTGGCAATATTCAGTTTCAAGATCAAGTCTATTTGACTCCTGACATCAATCAAAACTCTTATTAATCCACACAGGCAACATGCGGTTTTACAGTCAACACACATCCAGTGAGTCCTTGCTCCTGGCCTAGCTTTCTACTAGGCAATGTTAGGCACATTGCAGTGACCATGACAGTCCCAGGATCAGCTTTTAGGAGGTGCACAGGCCGGAAGAAACAGGGCTAAATGGGGGAAAGCTCATGCATCAGGGCTGGGGAAAGGGCTTGGTCCTGAGCCTGAAGGCAGCAGAGAAAAAGCACAGGACCTGAAACAGGGAACAAGGTAAGAATGCAAATTTTCCCGGAGATCTTAGGGGGAATGAATCAGCAAGGGCTGAGCCAGGGGCCAAGACAAGTGAAAAGTTAATGGTGGCTTTATGAAGGAGAGGGGGTGAGGTGTGAGAACAGGAACAGACAATACAACCCCAGCCTCAAGAGTTCCATGTCTACTCCCTGATCCTGAAATGTCTGGGGACAAAACTGGGCAGAGAACGTGTCCCCTGCTAAAGGAATGTGACCCAAGTGGCTAGTGCACCAAGGAGAGCAGAGCTGTCACAGTGGGGTCCGGACCCATCCTCACTTGTAATCAAAGTAGTAACACTTGAGCTGGGCCATGTAGCGCTCGAAGGAAGGGATGTCCTTGCGTAGGATGCTCCACTGTGCTCCGATCTCCAGTATGTCACCTGGAGGTGACAGGGCAGGCTCTTAGAAGGTGACTTTGGTTACTTCCCCCCCGACCACTGATGCCATGAGTCATCCTAGGCCCCCACAGGTCATCAACCCCAGTGACACTCACGGGCCAGAATGAGCTGCTGTTTAGTCAGCTTCGTCCCTGTTGTGGGCAGAAAGTTGAGCTCCAGTAAAACCAGCTGATGGGGAGGGGAAGAGAAGGAAAGAAGGTAGCATTTACCATTTGTGGGCCTTACAGTGTTTACAGGCATTACAGAAAGCTTGTGGAACAAGACCTGGATACACTGTCATGACTCTTTCAGAATAACTTCATATTATAAATAACAGCCCCTTAGGAAAACAAGAGGGAGCTCTGCTGGCTAGGGAGTTAGGCTGCCAACCCAAAGGCACAGTTTGAATTCACCAGCTGCTCACTGAGAGAAAAACGGGGAAATGTGGTCCCATGCATTTTGCAACCTTGGAACACCTGCGGGAGTTAATTTGTTCCGACTGGCGGGCACATAACAACTAAGAAAACAGGAAAGATCTCCAGGGCCAAACCTAAAGGAATCTCGGCGGGGAGGGGCGCCGGAAGGCCAATCTTCCCCACACTGTGTCTGGGGGGGTGGAGGAGGGTACCACCTTCCCCCCAATATTTACACCAGGAGGAAGGCTGACAACGCACCTCATTATAGCAGCGCACGCACCACCCGTCATCAGTGATGTCCTGGGCTGAAACACCCAGCATCCCAGTCTAGAGCTCTCGGCAGTGTTGTGCGGTCAGCTCGCTGCTGCACACCCAAGCTGGTCCTTCCACTTTTCTAAACCCCAGATCTTAGATACCTGACCTTAACCTGGACTGACTTCACCACACAGACAGGCCCCCCTTCGCCACACACCCCTCTCAGCCTCCTCCTATTACTCTTCAACAGCCCGCCGGCCATTCGCACTTCAGTCTGTCCAGGGGCGCGACGAGCCTCGAATCTCATCTCGCCACTGTGGCCACTTTTACCTCTCGCTAAAGCCGGAGTCCCTCTGCACTCCCACTGTCCGTTCCGAAACCTTCACTCCAGTACGCCTGGGTCCCTCTTTGCCTGGAACTTCGTCCGGTCGAGACCTCAGGGCGCCCCCCTCGAACACCTGGTTTCCCGGGCTTCACTCCTACCTTGAGGCGGCCTAGCTCTTCTCCGCACTTGCTAAGGTTGGGACTTTTACGGTTCCACTCGCCCTTGAGTTGCTCGTACATGCCGGCTGCAGCCTGCAACACCGCGCCAGAAGCCGCCGCGGGCCCCGAGCCCGAGACGCCCGGCGCCCCATTCACCGCCGCCGTCGCCATCTTCCGTGATGCGGCAAAACACCGGCCTAACTTACGGCAGCGACGCTCAGCGAGGCTCGCCAGGCGGAAGTGGGGCCGGAGGTGGAGCCGAAAGCTGGGGGCCGGGCTAGGGCAGCTAGCGTCCCCGCGCCGCGTTGAGTTTTCCTTGGCTCCCGGGGCGGTTCTTACAGAGCCCTTCCATTTATAAACATGACAATCAGAGCTCCGCCTCTGCTGCCATTTAAAATGGTGCCCAGAAATTGGTTCCTTCCCTAACTGAAACTAACTGTGGGCCCAACGCCCCTTTCCAGTAATCAATATGGCCGTTCTGGCTTCAGTATGTACGCGCGCGAAACCATTTACTGTCTTCAAAGGCTCCAACTCAACAGCTGCTGCTCTAAGCCGGGAGGTGGAAGTGTGGGGCTACTCGGACTGCTGTGTTACTCTTCTAAAGCAGTATTTGGAGCCATTTGGACTGCTATGTTAATCTTCGCTAAACCGGTATTAAAAGGACAGGTTGCCTTCCAAAGGAATTCTGTTTTGTGTTTTGTTGCTTTTTTTATTTTAATGTGATTTTTAACAAAAGTTTACAGAAAAGTTGAGTTTTCTTTCATTCATTGATGCACATTTCCTTCCTCCCCTCTCCTTTACTGTGTAAGTTACTTCTTGTTCCAGATTGTTAACTGTCATACTAACATTGCCTAACCATACATTCCTTTCAGGCAGTCCTTTCCTTCATGTGATTCAGTTCATTATCTTTTCCTATTTTCTTCTGCGCTCTCCCTCCACTGTATTTTTAGACTTACATACTTTACTGAATTCTTGTTGTTGTTGTTGTTGTTATGTGCCATCGAGTCATTTCCGACTCATAGCGACCCTATGC